TGAGGTCAAATCTGCACAGAGGATGGGAGCTTTTCTGGCTAAGGTGTTTGCAAACATCTCTAGCCTATTACTGGCTGATCATCAAGCTAGACAACCTTTAGGAAGCCAGGCTCAACAATAAGAATCATAGGGTGGTCAGGGGGGCAGGGGAACGAGTAGGAATATCAGCAGCCAAGCAACACTTGGGAGAGATTCCCTACATAAAGTCAAAATACATCACTTAAAAAAAATCAACAACAACAACCCTTAAGGAAGAACTATCAGAATCCAGAGGCTGTACAACATATTATCTAAAACGTCCAATTTCCAATAAAAAATTACAACATGCAAAGAAATAGGAAGGTGATCCATACTAAAAAAAAAAAATAGTCAATAGAAACCAGCCAACTTCAAGCAGACCCAGATATTGGATTTAGCAAAAGCTTTAAAAGCAATTGTTATGTATGCTTTTTTAAATAATTGAAGGAGCTGGGCACAGTAGCACACACCTATAACCTCAGCAATTTGGGAGGCCGAGGCAGAAGGATTGCAAGTCTGAGGACAGCCTGGGCAATTTAGGGAGACTCTGTCTCAAAATAAAACATGATAAGGGCTGGGAGTATAGCTCAGTGGTAAAGTTCCCCTGGGTTCAACCCCCACTATTAAGAAAAACACTTACAGGAAACTGGGTGTGATGGTGTACTCCTATAATCCTAGCTACTCAGGAGACTGAGGCAGGAGGATCACAAATTCAAGGCCAGCCTGGGCAACTTAGTGAGAGCCTGTCTCAAAATAGAAAATTTTGTAAAAGGGGGAGTTGGGGATATAACTTGGGGGTAGAGTGCTTGCATAGCATGCACGAGACCCTGGGTTCATTCTCCAGTAATGCACACACACACACTGAGAATTAAAGCCATGCTTAAAGAATTAAAGGACCATAAAATAACAATGTCTCTACATATCAAAAAATCTCAATAAAGAAATAGAAACTATAAAAAAGAACCAAATGGGGGCTGGAGTTGTTGCTCAGTGATAGAGCGTTTGCTTAGCATGTGTGAGGCCCTGGGTTTGATCCTCAGCACCACATAAAGATAAATAAATAAAATAAAGGTATTGTGTCCAACTACAACTACAAAAAAAATATTTTTTTTAAAAAAAAAGAAGGACCAAGTGGAAATCCAAGGGTTGAAAATACAGCAACAGCAATGGGGGGGTGGGGGGTGGAGTTCATTATATGGGCAGATTTAAGGTGTTAGAATAGAGAATCAGTCAATTTTAAGATAATTTAATTGGAATTATCCAATTTTAATAACAAAAACTATTAATGGAAAATGAGCAGAGTCTCAGAGACCCGTAGGACAGCATTAATTGTACCAACATACCTATAACAGGAGATACAGAAGAAGAGGAGAAAGCAAAGTGCAGAAAAAAAAAAAACATGAAGAATATGAAGCCCCTTAACCACTCCCCCATGGATTTGGGGGAGTGGGGTGAGGAAAGCAGAGGCTGCTGAGGTATGGCGAGAGCCCCTACAAGCTGTAGCTCTGAGCTGACTCTCAAGGAGAAAAAATTGTACCTACTATGTGCTGGGCCCCATGCTGCCCTGAAATCAGCCCATTGCCCTTCTCAACAGTGAGCCATCCTCAAGATATAGAGAAGGATCTGAGAGGTCAAGTCCTCCCAGTCGCAAAGCTGGTGAGTGGTCCAGTTGGGGCTGGAACCCATGATCCCCTTCTTCATGCCTTCCCCTCACCCTGATGTCTCATGGCTCATGTTCATACCCCCATGGACTCAGCAGCAGCATGCCCTTGGGGTCCTGGGTCAGGGAAGGACAGAGGGAAGCACTGAGTGGGGGTCTGGGGCTCAGGAAGGAGCAGAGCAGGAAACACAGTGGACACAGTGGCGTCCAGAAGCCCGTGAGATCCTCTCCTCTTCCCCCAGGGAGTGGGGCCTCAAGCTGGGATGGGCTGTTCCACTCCCCAGAGAGCTGTGCGCTCTCCCAGAGGCTGACTCACCAGGCAGGGGCTGGGCTGGACAGAGGCCGATCTTAGGTGGCCTCAGGATTCCCAAGAGCTTCAGCTATACCAACCCCCAAATTCCAGGCTCAGGGACCACCTTGCAGGGCTGGGCCTCACTTGCCTTTAGAAGGTCACTGTCCCATTCCTTTACTGCCTACTCCATTCACATTTCATCCTCACAGCTTTCCTGACAAGCGGATGCCAGTTGAAGAATTTGAGGCCCAGATAGGTTAAGTAAGTTCCCTGATGTCTCACAGCAGATGGACTGTGTTTTCACCCTGATGTGGCTGACTCCAAAGCCCATGCCCTTCTCTCCATCTCTCTGGGGTATCTTGCTCTGAATAATCACCCCAAACTCCTCTTCTGAGGTGACCAGGGCCAGAAGCACATGTGCTTCACAAAGCCCAGCACTACAAAGAGGGACCATGTCACAAAAAGCAACTCCTGGATCTCATCCTGGACACCATCTCCCATTCCAGTACCCTTCATCCCACAGCCCAGGGCACATGTGTGACCAAATCCAGAGAAAGAACATTTACCTGTCATGAGACGTAGAGAGGCAGATCCCACATATTACCATTCAGGGTGGCCCCACTCACAGCCTACCCAGCAGTTTCTTATCCCTTTCCCGGGGGATGAGAAACAAGCTCAGCTGTCTGAGTTCACAGCACCCCCCCCCCCAATCTCATTCTTCTTAGAACTTGGCCCCTGGGAGGCACTCAGTAGGGACTTCCACTGGCCTCCCTTGTGTCTCCATGGAGCATAAGAAGACCTGGACCCTTAGCCTCTGAGCCACAATGTCCTCATTCTTTGGTGCTCCTCCCAGGAGAGGTAAGATGATGAGTGGGAAGATAAAGATGCCACAAAGGTGCCAGGAGGAGTGGGCCTGAGGACGGAGAGGGCAGGGCAGCACTCGCAGACCTGTGAGGCCAGGTGGGGCTGGAAAGGCGGACGGAGGGGCCAGAGCCTGGAGGGAGGGGAACACCTCACTGCTAATGCACGTGAGACCAGGGGCCGGAGGAAGGGTGACCAGCCCCTGTCTGGACCTGAGGGAGTGAAAGAATCAACAGCAAGGTCCTGCAGGGTTTTATGTCTCCACTGCTGGGGAGAAAGCAGGGAGTCCTCAGGCCCAGCCTGACGCCAGCGTGCTCCAAATTAAATAACTCCAACTCCCCTTTTTATTTCCTGGCTGACAGCAACTTATTGGGAAGGCGGCTGCATCTGACATTCTAATATTCAGAGTCACCTCCTGTGGGACAAATGCATCGCTGTTGTCTCAGCCGATAATCTGTACCAGGAAAGGAGGGACCTGGGAGGGGCAGAGAGACGCCTGGCCTGGCACTGCTGGCAGCAAAGGGAGAGAAGGGACAGAGCCCAGGTCCTACTGGACCATCCCAGGTGCCCCCTGCAACAGGCCTTTGACCCATAATAGTTATGCTATTATATAGTTATGTGACCAGATAATGGTATCTGGTCACACCTCCCCTAGAGGCTGGTCCATCAATAGCCATTTCTGAGCACTCACCACATACCAGGTCTCTTGTGGGCACTGGGAGAGATGGAGAGGTGGTCATGGCACAAATCCTATATTCAGGATGGGCAGGCAACCAAGTTACCAAGTGCACCATGGAGCCTACTGGTTAGAGTCAGGTACTTTGGAGAAGCACAAGCCTGGCTTCAACTTCTTACTCTGCAGCTTACAAACAGGGTAACCTTGGAACACTTTCCAAATGTCAATCCTGCATTGAAATGAAAACAGTATGGACTACTTCCTAATGTCATCCAGAAGATTAAATGAAGGAAGGCAAATAAAGGGCTGACCAGCCCCAGTGCCTGGCACAGAGTAAGAGCTCATAGTTGCTGTCAAAGGACACATAGGTGGGATGAAGTGCTGCAAAGAGAGGTGCCCGCAGGGTGCTATGGTGAGTTTGGGGGGGTACTTGCTCCCAAACCACAGTTCTGGGTTAAGTAGGAGCGTCCCACTGGGCCTATGGGACCCTCCAGGCATCTCAGTGTATCTGGATGCTTCATGGCATTTCCTGGCCACACCAGCGGAGCACCAGGTAGCCAGGTGCTCTCAGGACAGAAGCAAGTGGGTAAGCGGTCACCCTGATGGAGTGACATCACTCAGTTCCTTGGTCACTTCCAAGGGAGCAGAAACAAATGACAGTGAAGTCAACCATGAGTCTGTGGGTGTTCTTAAGCCATAATATAAAATCTAGATATTCCTGTGGGGTGGAGAGACCCAAACAAGGGCCCACAGGGCCAAGAGAGGCATCAGGGAAGGCTGCTGTGGCTGCAGGCCTGTTGCTGGCCTGGGACCATGGGAGATGTTGGCTCTGTGTAAAGGACCAGTGGTCCTCTACGGTCCATCTGTCTCCTCTAAAACTGAGGTTGAAGTATTGAGAAGCAGGAACTTTAGGGGGTATTTAGGTGGTGAGGCTCAGCCTTCATGAACAGATTAACTCCATTATGGAGGGAGTTGGGTTCATCCTCCCAGGAATGGCCTCTTCTCTCTCCTGCATCTCGCCCACCCCTTCTGCCACATGATGATGCAGCAAGACGTCCCTCACCAATGTTGGCATCTTACTACTGAACTTCCCAGTCTCCAAAACTATGTGCCAAAAATTTCTGATCATTATAAATGACCCAGTCTGCAGGATTGTTAGAGCAGCACAAACCATGACAACCAGCAGCCGGGAGAGCCTGAGGGGATGGGGTGGTGCAGGGCCTGAACAAGTGGCCAAAACAGTGGTCACAGAGGGGGACAGTGTGTCCTGGGGCTCATGAGATTATGTGAATTGGAGCTCAGATTTGGGTCAGGTTTTCCTAACTGGACTTAAGAGGGAAAAAATGCCTCCACAGGCCTGAAAGGAAGAACAAAAAAAGAGTAAGAGAGAAGCTAGGAGAATACTCTGAAGAGTTGCTGACGACTGATCTGGCCTTTAAAATGCGGCGAGTATGGTAATCTAATAAACACAGCAACAAAGCGTTTGTCACCAAGCTAATTTTATTAGAACAGATCTCAAATGGCTAATTTCCTTTTACTAATGAGCAAATTAGTTGAATCTCTGATCTGCTTTTAAGGCACTTATACTAATAAAACATGAACGACAGTGAAATTTGTTGTGAGATGAGGTGATATGTGCATTTGGGTTGAAGGGAATCTCCAGGCATGGAGGGCTGTTCCAACGGGGTCTTGTCCAGAGGCACCTCCAGGTTATGCAGTCCAGCTTGGATCCCAGCCCTGGGGAGGAGATGTCAACCCAGATGAGAACCAGGGGACCAGCCCAGAGGAGGAGCCTTTGGAGTGGGGCAGGGCCTGGCCCCAGCAGCTGAGGAGTGATGTTTCTGGCAGAACCTCAGAGCGGGGGCAGGATGGCCCCTTGGGAGGGGGTTCCTCCCCATCTCCTCCATCCACCCACCTGTGCAGTGTAGAGAAGCGTTTCCCAAGACTTCCCTGCCCTCTGGTGTTCCAGACTGGCTCTCTCCAGACTTCCACCAAACTTCCTTTCTCAGCGCCAACATTGAGGTTTCTGGCTGCAGCTCTTCCAGTGATTTTGCAGATGCCTGGGGAGCGGGAGGTGTCATGCTCAGCATTTTTTCACAGCAAAGGGGCTTTGATCAGGGCTAGCATTAATTGCAAACAGCCAGGGCAGGTTTGATTGCCACCTGGGGGAGAGTTACATGGAAGGGCCCTTGACCAATCAGAACCCAATGTTGCTCCAATTGCTCTGAGCTGAGAGGTAAAGGAAGGGGTCCCAATTACTTTAGTGGTATACTAAATGTTGGCAAAGAGGGAAAGCCCAGGAGAGTGCTCTGGCAGTTAGAACAAGGAGAAGGGCTGCAAGGTTCTTGGCAGCAACCTGGCAAATGCAGGATGCCCTGCAACGAAGAGGAAAAAGAATTCCTGGGAAGGGAGTTCAGCACCAGGCAGACTCCCTGCTTCAAAATATGCTCTAGTAGTCGCTTTACACCAAGAAGGGCTTGGAGAGCCAGGTGGGCTTTGGCACATCTGAAAAGCTGTCCCACCAGCAGGCCTGACCAAAAGTCCCTCAGAATGCCCAACAGAGGAATAAGAAGCTCCCTGAGGTTGGATTTGGCATGAAAAGGGGCCAGAGTTCAAATAGCTGCTCAGTTCCATACATTTGACTCCGTTCACCCACTTAGCAGTGTGGTCTGAGCCAAGACACAGATTACACTTCAGTTTTTTCTTCCAAGGGGGAGATACTAGAACTCAAATGAACGATCCTGTGGACTCTCTGGGAAAGCACCAGCAACTCAATAAAGGGGAGCTCCCTTAGTTCTGCAGGATGAGTTTTAGGAGCTGCTGCCCCCTTTAGGCCATGCAGAAAGTACATGGACAAGAGAGAAAATAGGTGTCCCAGGAGGTGCCCTCAGGATTGAAAAAGGCACCCTAAAGAGAAGAGAGCACCTTGTCCCCAGAAGCACACAAGCACCTGGCAGGGATGCCCCTGAGGACCCTCAGCTCTCTCTAAGGACTGTCATGCAAGCTGCCCTTGCCTAACACCTGCTAAAAGTCACACGTGCACACCACCTCCCTCCCCTCTGACCTCACCTTCTCAAAATTCCCCAGAATGAGCCTCCTGTCCTGCAGCCCTCATCTTCAGAAGGGCTCTCTGGATTAATCAGTTTAACCGGCTCCACAAACCCTCAGTGAAGTACCCTAGTAGCTTTTCTTGAGAGGGCAAATAGGTGCTGGTAAAATAGGGACACCACCAGGAGCTTAGATCTGCGACATGCCGAGAGCTTGCTTCACGCTCCTACACAAGCTGTCAGAGCCCCTTCCATCCTGAATTCAGCAGCTCTAACTGGCAGTGGAAGCCACAGCCACAGACCTCATCACTGCTCCTGGTGTCTCTCCACATTCCAGGTCTGCCACCCCCCAACCTGTACATACCCTGCCTCCCCCCACCGCCCAAACAGCCCCCAGGGCCACCTCTCTGAAGTGCACAGGCCTCATTCATTATTCAGCCACTTCCTCAGTTCAGAGGCCCAGGGGCCAGAGGGCTGGCAGTTTGTGTGCTCTTTCATCTCCCAGGTCGCACGAGGAATGCAGAAATGCTAGGCTGGTGTCCAGGATGCAGGCAGAAGGCTCTCAGGCCTGGGTCTGTGACCCTCATGCTTTGTGCCCTGGGACCCAGCTCTCACAAGGCTGCCCCCCTGGAATGTCCTCACAACCAGAGCATGTCTTTCTGGGCTTTGAACCCCACTCTGTGGAGCCCCAACCTACTGATGCCCCATCCCTGCTTCTAATCAGGGGAGCTGGGATTTGATCCCAGTGTGTCTGGGTCCAAGTGGCAGCTCTTTACTACAGCAAGCAGTGAGACCTGACTGTTCTGTAAACAGCCCGCAAGCTACCTGAGGATGAGCTTTGGCCCAAAGGCAGCATAAAAGCCTTCGCAAACCCCTGGGCAGAGGAAGAAAGACCTCTCCTGAAGTGATGCCAAGATATAATATGTGCTGATTCTAAAGGCAACATGAGAACCAGCTCCATGGCTGTGCCCTGACCCTTGCTTCAGCGGGTTGCACAAGAGGTGGCTTGAAAGAGGTCTAAACAGCGGCACACATCCTGTGACATGCACACAGAACTCTGTGACATGGCTCTCCTCCCCTCAGGCGGCAAGATCCTCTTAGTCAAGTTCTCCTCCCAAGAACCTTGCGTCATCAACTTAACCTTCGGACACCTGGATAAATGCAGGTGTTGAGCAAGAAGGAAAGATTGAGAGTCAAATCTCCTGGTCCTAAATACTCCTTTCCCTAAACACTCCTCTCCTGTCTCAGATCCATCTCTCAGTGTGACCCCCCCACAAGATCAAAACCTTTCTTTGATACAGAGCTACACAAGTTTGGAATTGAATTACTGAACCAGGACAAGGAGACAGAGCCAGCCTGGCCTGCCCAGTGGCAGGCAGAGTGTTAACCTGCCATGGGCTCCCGTGGCCTCGGATGGAGGAAGGCAATAGGCTGGATGGGCACCCAGCAGAGATGGCTTCCATCATCTCTTCTGCCCCTGTGCCTGGCACTACAGGACCTGGCTAGGACGGTGGCAGTGAACTGAGTGCTGAGTCCTGATGCCTCCTCTACAAAGTCCCATGTCAGAAACAACCACAAGGGACATTAAAAAAGATGTCCCCTGGTGAGGCCACCAAAGGTAGAGTGTTACAGGATGCCAGTAACAGCTACCCCAGTACCTCCTGGGGTTCCAAAGAGTAGGTTTCCTCATAGAAATTGGGGTCTCTGCCGGGCACCAGGAAACCAGATGAGGGGACCAGACAAGATCTCAAAGTGGGCTCCTACAACCCAGGCTGCTTTCCCAAATCCAGATCCCTAGCCGCATTCCCTCCCTCAGCTCCTTGCTGTGGCTCCTGCAGAAGGGACCAAGCTTAGCATGGAGGATGAGGTGGGCATTCTAGATACTCGCTGGCCAGAAGAGAGGAGGCCAGACTGTTCAAGGCTTTGTGGAGGTGCTGGCCTGGTACGCCTATTGATCTGCAACTGTCCAAAGAGCAGGGGCTGAAGACCCTCAGCAGGGTCCTCCCAACATCCTCAGCCTTCAGGCTGCAGGGATCCAGAATTTAATAGTATACCATATCCAGAACTAATCACTGACTCAGCCTAGTTCCTACCTTGAAGACCTAATCACATGCCCTTGCTTGCAGCTCCCTGCCAAAGACCCCCTCCATTATCTCTAATTCTTTTCTACTCAAATCCCACCTACATTCAAGAATCAGCTCAAGTTCCACCGAAGCCAGAAAAACTTTTTTTCTCTCCAGCCCCGAGTCAATTCACCCCTTTGCGTCAGCCCAAGACACAGATTTTGACATTTGACCACATAACAATTTAGCAATCCATTAAATGTTATTCTTATGTCTTTGGCTCACTTTTTATATATTTTATTAGCCTTATTTCTCTAACTAGGCTTGCAGATGGAAGCCATGTCTTTCTTTTCTCTAAGTTTCCCAGTACATTCCTGGCCATTCAACACTTTTGCCCAGAACACTGCTGTTAGCTGGTACTGCTCAAATACATCCTATGCAATTCTGCTAAATGAATCTTCCTCAAACAACACTCCAATCATACCATCCCAAACCCATAAATGGCTCCCCACTGATTATTCAAACTCCTTGGCTTGAACCTCAAGATACTCCAGGATTTAGTTCAAATTCCTCCCAAGGTTTCTCTATTAACTCTCTTCCACCTGTACTCCATACTTCAATTAAACTTGACACTATGCCAGTTCCCAGATATAACACAATTCCTTGTCTAGGTGCCCTGGTTCATGTCGTTTATGCAACTAGAACATTCTTCCTCCCCACCACCATTTGTTGAATTCTTGCCCATTGTACAAGGTCAAGCTCAAAAATCAAGAATAAGCTTCTCCCACTTCTGACCTATGATAACTCCTGTAGGACATGTAACCACTGTCTGCCTCTTATCACAGTATCTTCCTATACATGTGTTTATCCTGCTCTGGAAATGTAAATAACTGGGACAAGGACTAGCCTGTATCTTGATAACCCAGAAAAAGGTGGTAATTAAATATATTAGTCAACTCAGGCTACTATAACAAAATACCATAGACTGGATGAATTACACAAAGGCATTTATTTTTCACAATTCTAAAGACAGAGACCAAGGTGCCAGTAGATTTGGCTCTTGGTGAGGCCCTCTTTCTGGCTAACAGACAGCCACTTTCTCACTGTATTCCAAATAGCTCTAGTTTCTCTTCTTCTTCTCACAAGGGCACTAATTCCACCCTAGAGGTCCTATCCTCATGACCTCATCTAAACCTAATTACATTCCAAAGGGCCCACCTTCAAACACTATCACATTGGGGGGTTAGAGCTTCAAAACATGAATGGTGGGGTGAACACAAACTTTCAGTCCAACATCATGTCTTCCCTGTTTTCTCACATTTCCAAAAATTTCTTAAAGAGAATCAAAGGGTCCAGATAAGGATTTAATTATTTTGAAAAGCACAATAACCTCAGATTCAGGATGAACATCTGCTTTGCCAAGGCAGAGGGAGAGAGGCTGCCACCCAGTTGCTGGCTCCAAAGTTCCACCCACCCAGGGCCTTGAAGCAGGTCAGCAAGGGGCCCGAGAGGAAGAGCCACCCATCCTCCCCTCTAAGCCCTCTGGATATTCATAGATGCCTGGTTGAGGGAAGAAATGGGGCCTATGAGCCTGCCTGCTCATTCTCTGGACTCTAGAGCTGAAGAGGTCTAAGAAAAGGGGAAACAGAGGCTACACCCGTACCTGTCTGGCTGCTCAGGACCGTATGTTCTAAATGTAAATCTTCAAACCAAGGAGGCCAGCATATGCCAAGTATATGGTAAGATCCATGAAGCCCTTCTTAACCTGCCACCCTCCTCCCACCAAATCTCAGCTACCCTGGCCTTGGTCCATTTTCTGCTGCTATAACAGAATACCATAGACTAAGTCATTTATAAAGCAAATAAATTTATTTCTCACAGTTCTTGAGGCTAAGTCCAGCATCAAGGTGCTGGTACCAGGTGAGAACCTTCTTGCTTTGTAATCCCATG